GATAGATAGATAGATAGATAGATAGATAGATAGATAGATAGATAGATGTATACTTTATTCATCCCCAGGGGGAAATTTGTTGATTATCAGTTAACAGTAAAATAAATCTTGTTTTGTCCGACCAACAGTCCAAAACCCAAAGATGTTCAGATTACTGTGATATAAAAGCAAGAACAGAAGAATCTTCACGTTGGAGATGGAATCAGATGAACCTGATGGAGAAATGTATTAATTGACTCACTAATCATTGCATCTGTGCTGCAAACCATTGGCTTACAAACTACACTAACTAACTTACTTACATGTTCCCTTTAATTACACATCGTCCCTTTGAAGCAGATTAAGTCATTGGGTGACTACAGACCCTCCAACATTCTGAATTAGTTATCTCGTTAGTTGACCTTAAGGTCGTTCCATTGACAAATCCTCAGTTTGAAATACTGGAATCTAAAATAACGTGGGGGGGGGGGTCCTGCAGTGATCGAGTCGATGTCGGCTGCAGTAACAACATCAGCAGGTTCTGTTCAGTGTCTGAAGCCACCGATCCACACGGGGTTAGGTTTAGAAGTGAGTAGAGAGACGGTCTAGTTTCTCTGCCGGCAGACAGAGGACAGGAGGACAGAACACATGAGGACAGGAGGACAGAAGACATGAGGACAGAGGACAGGAGGACAGGAGGACAGAAGACATGAGGACAGGAGGACATGAGGACAGGAGGACAGAAGACATGAGGACAGAGGACAGGAGGACAGAAGACATGAGGACAGAAGGACAGAGGACAGGAGGACAGAAGACATGAGGACAGGAGGACAGAAGACATGAGGACAGAGGACAGGAGGACAGAAGATATGAGGACATGAGGACAGAGGACATGAGGACAGGAGGATAGGAGGACAGAAGACATGAGGATAGGAGGACATGAGGACAGGAGGACATGAGGACAGAAGACAGGAGGACAGAGGACAGGAGGATAGGACAGAAGACATGAGGACAGGAGGACATGAGGACAGGAGGACATGAGGACAGAAGGACATGAGGACAGGAGGACATGAGGACAGAAGACATGAGGACATGAGGACAGAAGGACATGAGGACAGAAGGACATGAGGACAGGAGGACATGAGGACAGGAGGACATGAGGACAGAAGACATGAGGACAGGAGGACAGGAGGACATGAGGACAGGAGGACATGAGGACAAGAGGATAGGAGGACAGAAGACATGAGGACAGAGGACATGAGGACATGAGGACAGGAGGACATGAGGACAGAAGACATGAGGACAGGAGGACAGAGGACAGGAGGACAGGAGGAATGATTGACAGAATCTGATAAGTACTGATAAGATCAGCTCCTTGCAGTAATACAATCCTGAGTACCGTCAATCTGACGCACTGTTCCTTTAAGGATAGTTCAGGTTTATTACGACCTTGTTTTTGTAGTTTTTCCGCCATCATTTCTATCAGTTAAAACTACATTTAGTAATAGACGAGGTCTGGAAACACAGTGGCGTTAATAAGCAGAAACATTTAGACAATTAATCAACAAGTTGATGGACGGAGAATTAACTTTATTGTGATAGTTGATTAATTGATTTATTCTTTTATCAAGCGAGATATTGTGTCTGAAATACGAGAATTTAAAGTTTAAAAGCATTGCAAGAGTTCATATTTCCAGATCATTTATACGAAGTGATCACATTAATACAGAGCAGCAAATCTAATCTCTTCAGGCTTCAGACTCGTTTGTCGTTTCTGATATTTTATAAACTTGATGATTAATTACTTTCATGCAAGAAGAATAAAACAGATTTATTGATAGTTTGAAGTTCTTTGGTTTTAAACATGGAGCTGCTCAGTTCCTGTGGATCACAGCGCTGCAGGAACTATATACAGTTGACCTCTGACCTTTTAAAGAACACATGGGAGATGAGCTGCTGTGTTTTAAATAACGTTTCATGATCCAACTCTCACACTGCCCGGCCTTGTGTCATCAAGTAAATACCCCGATCATGCCCCTCAGATCCAGAGGCTGAATATAGAATGTTATGTTGGTGAGCCTGGGGTCAGAGGTCGCCCTTAATCACGTCCAAACGATGCAATAACTCGGCGGCCGGCGGGGCGCCGCTCACCCGTCACCTTGCCGTGGAGCAGAGAGCAGCTCAGCATCTTTATCCGTGTGTTTCATTTGAGGGTACGAGCATTGAACCGGTGGCTCTTCGCTGTGTTCGATGGGCTGAAGGACGAGAAGCGGCTGCTGCCTCATGAAATGGTAATGAGGACGATGATGACGATGATGATGATAGTGTGGTGAAGAGCCCGTCTCCAGGCAAGGAGAGGGAACACAGCTCTGTGGACTGATGTCATGTCACCGAGAGGTGAAGCTGCTCTGAGCTGTAAATATTCTATCTTGTTGAGTCGTTAAATCTCGCTTTTAAAAGGCAAAAGTTGGGAAATAAACGATGTCCTATATGACCGAGTAGTTTTAATGATTTTAAACGCACCCGTACGAGCAAAGAGGAGCGCCAAAAGGACTGGAATCTTCTTCACCAACAACGTTAACAATCACCTCAACCCGTCTGTGGTGCTTGGCGGGATAATTCATTTGTTATCAATAAAACTTTGTGGCTGTATATTAAGTTAATGAAGCTTTTAGGGTACATCATCTGAGAACCACGAATGTCTGGACACGACAATCCACTCAGCTGAAACACAGCTTTAAAAACCATCAGCGGTAATCCTGACAACACTCAACGACACTGGTTTGGTGCAGTGAGGCCACTTTCTTGTGGCTTATTCTCCTTTTACCCCTTTGTGTGACTCCGATCGGATCAGTTTTGCTGCTTTTCTTTAACCACATAGATAAGAGACCCGGGACCTGAATGCAACGATTAGTTTCAGCTGTGAACAAGAATGTAAAGAATACCAGATAACAATTGAAGCAGAATTACCCCGTAGATCTGATACTGGGACCCAGATCCCTCACTGGGATACGGGTCACATTCAAGAATAGATATGAAGCCTCATCCCCAAAAAAATCAATCCCAGCAGCGAAGCCTGGAGGCCTGAAGCTGAGCGTCTCTCACTGTGTGAGTCTCAGCTCTGGTCAAGGTTATCAGTGGCCAGCGTTCAGAGCGCTACCATCAACACGGGTACTCAGATATTCATGCAGAGCGTTTAATATACAACAGCATCTGTAATTAGGACAACAGGGACCTGATAAGCCGGAGGACTCGAGGCCAAACAAAGACCAGCGGCTCGGCTAACCCGAGACCAACACACACATCCGGCTGTCTGCTGGTCGCTCGTTATGCCTCAATAATATCACAAACTATTTTTATCTACTTATAATCACCAGAAATAGTTTAACTTTACAGCTTTAGATTGTTTAATAGGAAGACATATCTTATTATAGGTTTAAGTTTTTGTCAGTTTTTCTTGTTATATATTTTTTATAAATGCTTGCTTTCATTGTACTATAACAGTATAAAGACAATGAAATGAGGACTAAAAGAAACCATACGAGAGAAGAGACTTGACTAACATCATTACAGGCCTGGAATGAGATTAGAGAGCTGTGCATGAGGGTTGATGAAGTCAACATGTTAATTGTCCTCCCTGTCCACACATTATAAGGACGTCTGTGTCGTCAGGTTTATCTTTACCGTTTACTGTCCCAAGGCAAGCTGCTGCTGCTGCTGCTGCTGCTGCTGCTGCTGCTGCGTCGGGTTTGACTTCCTCCGGGCGGACGTGCGACGGTCTTCGTCACTTTGATTTCACCTTCAGTCTAAACAGACACATAAGAGGAGAACACATGTTTTTCACTCTCTGCTCTTAAACGTTCACCTGTATCGGAGGCCATGTGGAGGATTAATGGCAGCAGCTCTGACTCTGCAGCATCAGCACCTAAGTTCATCCGCTAAGCTGAAATGTAACGGCGTTAATGAGATCTTTAACGTTTTCCTTCAAAGAAAATCATCAAGTTTTGGTTCTTATTTCATTACGCGATATTTCTTTCATGACGTCCCCTTACAGGATGCTGTTGGACAGATGCCACAGATGTCCCCAGCTGGACTCAAACCAGGCTTGGTTGATGGTCTGTGATGGTCTGAAAGTGATCTGGCTGTTTTGAGAGGTTTTCTAAAGGGACCCACTTCAGTCCACAGGGACCAACAGAATCAACACGAAACATGAAAGTTCCTCGTAGAAGCTTTAAGTAACGCCACGTCCTATTATTTTAACCGATCTAAGTAGTTGCGTTGCCTTAGAAGTAGAGGGGCTTGTAAACTGATCGCACTCTGTGACGCGTGTAGCTGTACGTACTCTGTGACGCGTAGCTGTACGTACTCTGTGACG